GAACCCCAAGAATAAAATTCAAACATTCTGCAATAGCATGACACTATTACATGCTTGATTAACTCAATATGCATATGAATGGAAAAAAGTCACTAATAATATAAAACTTACATGTAGACTTTTTAGGGTATGCAAGTAGCACGTAAAGAACCATAACCCACCAATAACATGCACAGAGTGAATAAGAAGCACATATGTAAAGTTCGACAATATCAAATAAAACAATTCTTCCATATTATGGATGCTAAAGACACAATTACCACAAGAAAAATGTTAACAAAGTCAGAGCTGCTGGGTGGTTCTTTCAAACATAAGGCTTCCAAAGCACAAAACAAGAACTTCCATATTGTAGGATGAGGAGGAGAAATGAGGTGGGTTTAAACAAAACGCATACAGAAACTGGCAGACACCAACAAATCAAAAAGTTAAATAAAAAAGAGAGGATGAGGAGAAAGTAGGAGGAGTAAACATAAGAGTTGATGGAAGATGACTTAACCTGGAACTCACGCACTTTAAATGTGGGACTAAGAATTGCACATTGTAGTGCGCAACCTTTGGCAACACACTCACTGGCATTCATGGTACGCCTCGGCTCCTTGCCAAAGAACTCTGTCAGTCTCCTGATAACAGCAGGAACACGAGAACCGGAACCAACAACTTCCACGGAATGAATATTCTCAACTGAAAGTCCAGCATCCAGAAGAGCCTTCTCTAATGGCTCCGTCACACGTGACAAAAGTGGAACGATAAGTTGTTCAAATTCCTCCCTCTTGATGAAACCCCTGACATCTTTTTCCTCCATCAAGCACTCTATATTTAGAGGTGCCTCTGCATTTGCACTCAGAACCTTCTTCAGCTTTTCACAAGCAGCGCGAAGCCTAAGACAAGCCCTTGCATTCTGGAAAACATCAATCTTGTACTCTTCCTTGAATTTTGCAGCAAAGTAATGGAACAGAACTTCATCAAAATCTCTTCCACCAAGAGATTGGTCAAACGAGTGTGCCAATATCTTCAGTTGGCCTTTCTTGAACCCAACAATACAAACCTGCATGCTAGCATGCCCAATGTCAACAAATGCAACATTCAATTGGTCATTCTCAGGTAAATCTGTCTTATAGATTCCGTATGCCAAGGCAGTAGCTGTAGTTTCATGCATTAAACGAAGGGGATGCAAGCCCGCAATTGTAGCTGCATCTATAACAGCTCTTCTTTGAAGATCGGTAAAATAAACAGGTATCCCAATACAACAATCGACAACTGCTGCATTCAGATTCTTCTCAGCAATACTCTTCAAGTTAGAGAACACCATCCCCAAAACCTGGGTTGGAGTAAATGCCCTCACTTCTCCTAAGTAACGTGCATGGATTAGCGGATACCCATCAGGCCCCTCAGACACAGAATATGGCAATGCGCTCAGGTCCCTTTGCAGCTCAGGATCTGAAAACTTGCGGCCAATCAACCGCTTAATCTGAGAAATCGTATTCTTTGGATTCATCATACTCGATGCAGCACCAGCTGTTCCAAGAAACCTCTGCTTCTCACCAAAACACACAACAGCAGGAGTCTCACGTTTGGACTCATCATTAAGCACAACATCAATTCCTCTTTGCCTTGCAACGGCAACAACTCCACTCTCATTCCCAAAGTCAAAACCAACAACACTCATCTTTGCAACAATATTTAGCTCTGGTGCACACAGTCACTGTGTTCCCAACAGCTGAATAAGAACCTGAAAAATAACAATTGAGAACCATAAGCAACAATCCCCAAAATGGCCAATATGCTTTCAATAGATACCACCTGGAGAACTAAAAAATCAAAACCACATTCAATGGACAATAATAGGCCAAAAAGCTAGCATTCAAGCTTTTCACCCTCTAGCCTTTATTTCCAGAAAATAGTCATAAAAAAATCTCTCAACTAACAACATTAACTGCAAGCAACTTGAAAATTAATCAAGTTTACACTAACTAAATAACAAGACAGAATATATAAGTTAAAAGCAATTAACTACGTCTAGTTTCCACTACCATTAATCAGATACACTGATCAACCTGACAAAAGATGTCATAATCTCCATATGAACACCAAAGGGATGAAAATTATGTTGATGTACAAGTACAATTGAACTCTACGAAAGAAGAAAAAGTTTCCATACTTTCCCTTTTTTGGCAGGGTAGGGGCACTCCCATTAATCAGCACTGATTACAGACACTGAATACTACTTAGCCGAATCATTTTCTCTTCAACAACGTCATCAACTAAGACGAAACAATAACGCAATACAACTTGAACAACGAAGACAAAACATAATTTCAACACAATTTCCGCACAAAGTAACCTATAATCCAGGAATCGATAGGAAAAAGCAGCTAAATCCATATATAACAAACTACATTCCACAACCATCTGAACGTCTCTCATCAACACATACTCAATTAAACAGTGAACCTCGTAACTACGAGCAAATTCAATGAATCCATGAAGACAAATAACAGATCTGAGAATTTCCGAAACAGAACGGTAGGGTTTCTTTGAGACCCTACCTTGCGACGGAGGACCGAGTGCGCCGCAGCGTAGAAGAGGCTTCTGGAATCCTCCAAACACTTCGACGGAGTAGAGAGAGAAACAAAGAAAGAGTGTGTGTTTATAATACTTTGTGACCGAAACGGTGTAGCAGAGAGAGAGAGGCGGCCGTTTGTGCGTAAATATCAAATATGGAGTAAACTATTAAGTGGTGGGTCTTTATCAAGAGCTAGTCAGGTGTTCCCAGACGTGTCTAGAGATGCAGCTCCTTCTAGAAACATCTTCTACGAACCGCTAGGCCTTTTTGCCATTTCTTCGACTGGGCTTGGACTGTAATGGACCTATTTGATATCTATAAACGGGCCTGACCTATTCTGAAATGTTCTTCAAATTGGCGGAGAATGGGCCTGATCTATAAGTTGGATGAGAATGGCCTCTTCTATTTTAAAAGTGAAAATTGGGGGTGAGTCCTCTTATGTACTTATTTAGAGATAAGTCTGACATAGAAATTTATAGGGAGTTAAGTCCATATTTAAAATTATATATATTAACTTAAATCCACTTTTTTTTTATCTCAAAAATACCCCTAACAGTATTAACTTTGGTCAATTATAGAAAGACATAAGTTAAATGTTTGAAATATATATGATAACAAACTGATCAATTTTTTATGGAAACTGTATATATCAAAATATTATGCTTCAATTACGTTAAAATTAGTGGTCTATTAATTCAATTTCGAATCAGAAGATTCCATTAAAAATTCAAATTCAAATTCAAAATCTGCATCAAGCATATCATTCGTGTGTCTGTAACAGACATTTGTTTTTTATTGAATTTAGAATTGATTATTTTTTCGTGCTAAATAAAGGTAAAAATTTGAACGTTTTTGAATTTTTTCCAGGAAACCTGTTGTGTTCTTTTTCTTCATAACATACCGATATTTCATTTTTATTTTATAAGAGTGTCGAAGGTGATAGCAGCAGCAACGGGAGTTCGAATTTTTATGTGATTTCAGTTCAACCTACTAGTTCTTGATTTTCAGATATATTTTCACTTTAATTGACTTTTTTTACATATCGTGACTAACAGTGCTGTTTTGAAATTACCGTAAATTGGAAGTTACTTTGCCGGAATTTCGATGTTACTAACCGGAATTTGCATTTCAATGTTATTTATCGGAGTTATTTAAATTTATTTTTTTTAAACTAGGTTCTAAGTTTTGTTTTTCATGTTACTGGTAGTGATGTATTAGAATTAGAATTAATTATTTTCATTTTTTCTTTGTTCTTTGCCGAAATACAATGTTACTTATTGGTGTTTGTATTGCAACATCATTCAACGGAGTTCTTTTTTTTTTTTAAATAAGGTTTTAATTTTATTTTTTCATAGTAACATTCATGTTACTATATCTGTGTTACTATAGTAACATTATTTTGTCAGTAACATTCAAAGTACCCAAGCACTTCCATAAATTGGAAATATGAAATCAATTTTTAATTTATCACACAGAAATATGAACAGTTTCAATGTACTCTAGAAACAATGGTTTTCGAATTTCTTGAACAACGAAAAAAGTAACAAAAAATTTAAACATCTAATTATATAACACATTGATTAAGTAATAGTAACATAAACAGTTTCATCCCCAAGATTATATTGTGCACAATAACATCGAATGTCAAAAAATAGATAGTAAAAAACCAAACAATTCAAAAATTGATGTTAATGTCATGAACTAATAGTAACACATTGTTAATGGTTGATTTAGGACAATCAACACATATCTCATCTTCACTAATAAATTTTAAAAATTTCTCTCACAGTAACATGAGCAATTCTAAAAAAACTACATCAATCAATTTTGAATGTATTACACAACGAAAAAAAAAACAAAATTATAATACTCAACTCTTTAATATAGTAACAAGAAATGACAATTTTATTTAAAAAAAAAAAATTCAAAAGTATGAACGGTATAGTTTGTAAATCTTGTTTTAAAACCCTAAAACAAAAATCAAATATCATGTAAATTAACATACCTATCTATTATTTAAAGAATCCCAAAGCTTTTTGTGGAGAAGTTTTTAGTGCCGAAACCAAATGTAATGTCACCAATGAAACTTGAGGAGTGATGCCGATTTTCGGGTTTATGGTTTTGAACCAGTACAAATTTTGAAAATGGATAATTTGGAAAGATGAATCAGACGCACTAGAAAAACCCAAAGAATAGTTATTGCAGTCTGAACAAATTGTATAAAAAAAAGCAGGTTAAAGAAGCAAAGGCAAGGATTGAGAGGGAGCCGATTTGGGCAATGGCGGTTTGACTCCAAATCAGTTTGGGTAATGGTAGTTTCTGTTTTTTAGAGAAGGAAGATGAGATAGATTTTGGTGGATTTTGGCCGGATTTGTAGCCTATAATGGAGGGAAAGTTTTTGCGTTCCTATTCGACAACGAAGAGTTTCTCCATTTAGTGTAGAAACGGCAAGTTACACACCATTTATGGTTTTTCAAAAAATAAGAGTACAATAGTAAAATTATCAAAAAATGGACTTAAACCCAAACAAATTTCCTTACAGGACTTATCTCCAAACAAGTCTATCTAAGGGACCGGCTTCCAAATTTCTCATTTTAAAACCCTTTTTCAAATGGGATGAGAATAGTAGAGGATGGGCCTGACTTTAACTCCATCTTTAGCCCCAATCCAGAGTTAATCCGAGTTTCAATGTAATTCATGTAACCTGAGTTCAACTTGAATTCATTAAATTAAATATGAGCAATACTTGAATTTAAAGCTCCGGAATGAATGTGAATTCAAGTTGTAATTGGGTTGAAGTTTTATTACTTGAGCTGATTTCTAAGTTAAATCTCTCAACCCAACTACACTATGTCACAATCTCAAATCCTAAGTACTGAATTTACAATTCATTAAACAAATAAAAATGTTATTAAAATTTAATTTGAAATCTAATATTAGAACATAATTCAATATAACTATTGAATCAAAAGTGAACTCCATCAACACGCGCCATTGAATTAAGTGAAAAAATGCTTGCACGGTAATTCTGAATTGTTTAGGGTGGTTCAATTGTTGAGTTTGTCATTTTTTAACTCAGAGGTATTCTTTAATACTCCGTTTGTTAAGAAGGATAGAAAGTAAGCGGGATATACTTTATATTCTTCAAGGATATAAAGTAGGAATGATGTATTTTTCTTCTTTTGTGTTTGGTTGGATGAAAAAAAAATAAAAATAACAATTTTTTTTTTCGATGACTAAGATTAGGGTTGACAATCGAATCGTGTCGTATCAGATTCGTGTTGAGTTATAAAATTATAAGTTTTTTATATTTCGTGTTCACGTGTCATGTCATTTTCAAGTTCGTGTTAAGTTATAATTAAGTTCGTGTCATAAAATTTGTATCGAGTTCGAGTCGTATTATCGTGTTGAGTCGAAAATTTTCACTCCTAGTTAAGATAAAAAAAATATTTTTTTTAATTTAAAAATTTTATTTTTTTAAATATATATATATATATACATATTTTATCATTATATTTTTATATGAAATTAATATATAAATAATATATATAAACAAATAAAATACATCTCAACACAAATAATTAATTTTTCATCCACTTTCTTTCCGTTTTTTGAGGGATTGATTTTGATGAGTTAGAAAGAAAGTAAATTCATCTACTTTTTCATTATTTTTACTTTATTTTTTTATCAAACGTGATATTTTATATATCCTTCAAACTTTTTATTATTTTAACTTTTTATTTTTTTATTTTTTCATTGAGCATAAGAGTTAACTATATGCTCTAATCCAGTTAAAATTTAGACACCCTGTTAAAAAAAAAAAAAAAAACACTCAATNCTATCCTTCAAATTTTTTATTATTTTAACTTTTTATTTTTTTATTTTTTCATTGAGCATGAGAGTTAACTATATGCTCTAATCCAGTTAAAATTTAGACACCCTGTTAAAAAAAAAAAAAAACTCAATATTCTTTACTGGGGTATATCACCAACAATTACGTTACATAATCCCTTTTCTCAGCCCTTTCCCCTTCTACTTCAAGGTATTGAAATCTCGCCGGAATTCTGACGTAAAATGACAATAAGATCAACAAAAGCACTTAG